AAAATGTTAAAAAAAAAAAGGTAGGTGGTCCTATTTGATCAAATTTGATAACCTATTTTGCAGTAGAACCCTTTTAGTAAGTGAAAATTTACTTAGCAATAAAATAGGTAAATGCAATGCTGACCTGACCCTCACAGACAGCTTTCCCTTCCCTATGCTCTATGAAGGCAGGAACTGTCTGCCTCCTTAACTAAAGAATCTAGACACTGTGCTAATACTCACGAAATGTTTGTGATCAAAGCATAAACTTATGGAAAAAATATTTTTAAATTAATGTACAATAATTATTCAATCTAATATTTGTTACTTCAAGCTTTTAGGTATGCTTACTTTTAATAGCAACTTCAAAGTAGACCTAGTTGAAAAGATACAACCAGCCCAGAAATATAAAGAGCAAAAATAGAACTTCAACAAGTAATATTAAAATAATACACTAGAAATTATGTACAATACTAAGAGACATGAAAAAATATGTAAGATAAGGCATTTATATTTACAAAATTCAATAAGAGATTATGTAAATGCCACAAGAAAAATAACATTCTAGGGAAGGTTTGGAAATGCAGAGAAATAATCCAAATGAGAAGAAGGAGGAAAAATTTACAGAAAGAAGAATCTGATTAAAGTCTTGAAGAATAGGTAGAATTTCAATATATGAATCTAAAAAAGCACATTTCTGGTAGGGAAAAGGGTACAAACATATAGCTGAAAACAGGAAAATAGCTTAAGGAATAGGAAGTACACTGGGCTACAGCTTCAGACGCCTTGTAGTAAAGAACAAAATATTACTATAAAGGCAGATTCTAAGCACTTTAAAAAGCTAAGTGTTGGGCTGCCAATCACAAAGTGAACAGTTCAAACCCACCAGCAGTGATCATGGCAGCAAACTGTCTGGTCTCATGGATTTATAAAGTCTCAGTACACCCTGTATAAGGTTGCTTTAAGTCAGAATCAATTTGATCATAGTGGGCTTAGTTTAGTTTGGGTACCATTAAACACATGAACCAGTACCTTAGAAGTACAGGGAATAATTGACTTCATTCCTCAGATTAATATTCAACTGCAAAACTTACTGCAATAAAGTCAATTCTGACTCATAGAGACCCTGTAGAGTGAGAAAGAACTGCTGCTGTGGGTTTCCGAGACTTTAACTCTTTATGGCAGTGGTTCTCAACCTTCCTAATGCTGCGACCCTTGAATACAGTTCCTCATGTGGTGGTGACCCCCTAACCATAAAATTATTCATTGCTACTTCATAACTGTAATTTTGCTACTGTTAATAATTGGGCGACTCCTGTGAAAGGGTCGTTCGGACCCCAAAGGGGTCATGGCCCACAGGTTGAGAACCACTGCTTTATGGGTATACAAAGACTTGTCCTTTTCCCAGAAAGCATCTGGCAGTTTCAAACTGCAGACCCTAAGGTTAATAGCCCAACTCTACACTAAGCCACCAGGGATCTACTGAAATATTAGTTTTTATCTATGTGCTAGAATTAATCTGACAAATACTTACAAGGTCATTCATATTTGTTTGGCTAGCTGGATTAATTTCTTCCAGAAATTCTAAGACATAAAATGTGTATCTGTCCATAAGATGGACTCCAATTGCAGGATCTGGTTGGTGCTGTAAGACAAAGTTTAAAATGGAATTAACATTCTTGTGTAAGGTGTTAAAAAGTCCACGAATAGGAAATAACAGATATAATCATATAGAACATAAGTATTTCAGAAATAGCTATACTTTCAAAGACAGTGAAACTTAGAAATGATAAAATGCACCTACCGAAAGGGAATCTTCTCCCACTTGGCTACTAGCGAGGGCCATGATGTTAGGAGAATAAAATCGCTCATACATGGATGCTCCTTGACAAGTATCAATAATAAACAGTAGCTCATTGTAGCTGAAAGAAAAGTGATATCCTTGAGATGAATAATGATGTTATTGTACATTTATATTTTGAAAAGAAGTCATTTACTAATTACCGTCTTTTCTGCCACATTTGTTCAAAAGCATCTGCAAGTTCTATGTTAGTAATTTCTTCAGAATCTTGAAATTTCAAGAAACCATTTCCACCATGTCCTTACAGGAAGAATCAAAAAGACAGATTAGATATGCTTTTTATGCAAACTGTATACATTCTGAAAGATACATTTATTCATTGCAACATTTTAACACCCTTCATTATTTTATGCTCTAAATTAAGCACTGTGATTTTGGAAAAAAGACTTAATTTTCATTATACCAATCAAAAAGAGAATAATAACAGACTGCAAAGAAGAGCCAATAAAATATTTCAGAGTCTTTCTATCATTCGATGCCAGAGAAATACATTATACTTTTCTATTAGCTCCATTATAATATCAGAAGCAACTTTCCAAATTTCTTAATACAGTAAACAAATATTTTTGAGAAGAAAAGAGTTGAAGAAACTAAGTGGTTGCCTGGTATACTGGTACTATCCACAGTGCACACTGAATGCTAGTACTGTTATGAAATCTCGTTCTAATCTACAAATTGGTATTTTCACTAAAAATTGATATTTCCCTGCTCCATAAGGGTTCACCAGAAGATTCTAACATTTATTCATTCAGCTAACAGTTCTAGATTTAAGTGTAATCTTTGGCACTTAATATGTGACCTCAGATAATTAACATTCTAGATCTACATTTCCTCAGTTGTAAAATGAGAAGTAAGAAGACCATTAGCCTGTCTACACAGCTCCAGTGTGCAAGGTTTAAAATTGTACCTCAGTCTGGAAAGCAAAGTAGAAAATTCTGTTTTAGTACTCCCTAGCCAGAGGGGCACAATGAATTAAGCATCAGGCTGCTGACAAAAATCTGGCAGTTCAAACCCACAAGCTGCTCCATGGGAAAAAAAGACGAGGCAGGCTGCTTCTGTAAGATTTACAGCCTTCAAAACCCTGAAAAGTAGTCTTATTCTGTCCTACAGAGGTAGCATGAGTCAGAATCAACTTGGCAACAATGAGCTTGGTTGTGGTTTTCTGGATATAAACAGCCCTCTGAGTCCACAAATGATTAGCCTCCTTCTCATTAGACACAGCCCAGGGACAAGGGCACCTTGCTTAGAAAACATAAACCCTAGATATCAGCTCCCACTCACCCATCTGCCAGTGACTTGTGCACAATACACAGTTCAGACAAACAGCCTTGAACATCAGCACCTAAATCATCAGGTTTTTGTGAGGATTAAGTGAATACAGGCAATATATTTTAAATATTACCTGATCGGTAGCAAGCATTAATAGATATTAGCAATTACATTTTTTCTTTTTTAAAAAGATTTTATTGTGGATTGGGTAAAGATTTTCAGAGAAAATCAGTTTCCCATTCAATAATTTGTACACATTTTGGTTTTGGGGTTTTTTGCTTCATTATAGTTTGTGAGTTAATGCAAGAAAGCTATACAATAAGTAGGACACTCAGTGTCCTAAAGGTGATGACCTTTACCAGGGCAACAGTAAAAAGAATGGGGATTTCAAAATACAGAACAGCATAAAATGCTATATTATTTACAGATAGCAATTTCCTTGATCAAAGAAAATATAACAAATCAAGAAATTTAACCAAAAACTCTTTAGTGTGCTTATGCTTTTTCTATGTAGACTTTATTCAAAGAGTTTCAAAATACTATTAAATCCCTCTCCAGAATTACCTGTCATATAAATAAGAATATTGCTTCTATCATCAGAAAGAAGACGTTTTGATCGTGGAGTACTAGGTGGGATCCTCCCAGTTAATACACGTAAAAAATTCTCCACAGTTACCTGAAAAATGTAAGAGAAAGCCCATTCATTAGAACTTGAAGAAACCTACTAATTTACTTTTGCTTCAAAAAACATTGCATTCTTTTCTCAATATGGTTTTGTCCTCCTCATTAATAGCTGCCATATCAATCCCAAATCATAGTGATTCCACGTGTCCAGAGTAGAACTGAAACCCATAGAATTTACAGTCTGGAAGGGGGTTCTTGAAGTATTTCATGCATGATCTGATAATATAGAGAAAATTGTGTTTAACTTTAGCACAGTTGGTAAAACAGGAGAAAATTTATCCAGAAAGGCTTCCATGAGAAGACCTTCACATTTTAAATGTTTTTACAATCTCCTGTTAAGTTTAAAGTGGAATTTCAAAAGGAGAAAATATGGTATAATATTAATTTTCATATTCATATTTTCATTTTAAATTATATGTGCCTAAAAAAACACTGGAAACCTTAAGAAATGTTATCTCTCTGGAGTAGAAATATGAATTTTTTAGTCATTTTCTAACCTTTCCCACAGTTAAGCAGTTATTAAAAGTACTAATCTAGAAATTTTTGGTTAGATATGGAAAATAAACAATATTATATGCTATGAGAGTAAACATATAAAACCTTACTAAACTATAACACAAAAGTCAGTATAAAGTTATTCTCTCTAAAGTAGATACATGAAAATACGCAACAGTTTTCTCATATTGTTTCTTTACTACAAACTCTTGAGACAAAATTATAGCAAAGCCTCAATGACAATTTTGTACAAGTTGAAAGAAAAACAATAAGATATTTATTCTACCACTGTTTTAGAACTTGAAAGTAACAGTAAAGTAACTCAAAAGTAAAGTAACTCAAAAAACTGCTAAACAATTTACCTCATAGCTCCTATAATCCACTTCCACATCATCACCATACACATTTAATTCCATATTCTTGTGACTGAACACCGTAGCTGGTTTGGGATTCCTAGGGTTGCACGCCATGTCGTCTGCAAGCATTAGCACAATGTGACTGGAAGACAGAAGGGGAAAGCATAGTGATGAACAACTAACAGAAACCCCAAACATGCTAAAGACAGGTAAGTGTACATAGATCATGCACCACGAAACCAGTATGCACATTTGGTTCTCTAGTAAAATAATTTCCCAACTCTAGAGTACCTACTGACAGAGCTCTTAATATTTTTTCAAATCTTTATATAAGTTTTGAAGTAGAGAAATCAGACTAATCTAGCATGAATCTATCTACATTTAAGATTATTACTTTAAAATTTCCCTCATAAACTATTATACCATAGAGCAATGAGAAGTAAAAAGAGCTATCCTGTCTTCCCCAAACATTAAAGACTTCTAATAGTATATGACATTCTCAAGATTTTCAAAGTCTACATTAAAGTATGACATTCTGAAGAATTTCATTTTTAGAATTTCAAATGCTGAAGTGTAAAAATATGTTATCTGTTAGCACATGTAAAGGCCAGTTTCGTGCCAATAACTCCTTAATAGTTCCATTCCATCTCCCTAATACTTTCTACCATCATGTCTTGGCTGGATGCTAACAAAGCCTAATGCAGCGGTTCTCAACCTGTGGGTCACGACCCCTTTAGGGGTCAAATGAATCTTCCACAGGGGTCGCCTGATTCATAACAGTAGCAAAATTACAGTTATGAAGTAGCAATGAAAATAATTTTATGGTTGGGGGGGTCA